TACACCCCTCCACATATTCTTAGCATACCCGGTTTTTCGACTCGTGCACAGCCACCACAACGATTATCATCTTGCGGCGCAGGGAGGTATGTACTTATGCTTTATCTGATATGACCTCCAAGTTTCAGGGCCTAACTCTTCGTAGTTAGTGAGAAGTCGACGACCGGTAAAAAGTGTTCTCCACATCATCTTAGCATACACGTGTTAAATTGCGCCTCAAAATACCGACTTTTACTCGGGGAGTATATCTATAACTCCGCTCCTGATCTAATGCTATACATCAACAGATAGAGAATCGTTCATAATGAGATATACCCTAGATGTTTCACTCTCATATTTGGAGGCATCCAGCCAGAACTCAGCAGGGCAGCTGATGAGCGCGAAAGCGCGCCAAAATAAGGTGTAAAATCCGCCACGCAAGGAGCCGTCGGAGGTCACGACGCACTGGCAGACTCGACGATCCTCTTTCTGTTGATGTATAGCATTGGATAAGTAGCGGAGTTATTGGCATGGCTATATCCCCATAGGAAGTCCTTAACGGACATTCGTAGGGTTCGCCTCTTGTCGATCCACCATTGGCGGGACGACTCCAGTGCAGCTTCCTTAGCCATTTTCTTCAAGAATGCCGTAGAGACGTATGACGACGGCTGGCAGTCCAAGGGGAAGAAAGACTTCCGCCCAATGTTGGCCAGCACATCGACTTCTTCGTTCCATCTTGCTCCTTCGTGGCCCGGACACCAATGAATGTCGGCAAAGACCAGTAAGGAGAGTCGAGCGATGTCTTGGGCGATGCCAGAACGCTCGGTCGTTACTCGATTCTTAATCGTTAATATCGATGCCTGAGAATCAGTGAAGACACGTCATTGCTTACATTTGTGCTCTGAGAAGGCAATTCATATCAGAGCGCGACGAATCGCTTCCAGTTCACATTGGTGGATGGTTGCATATCGAGGCAGTCTGAATGACTGCTTCTCAATAGCAGAGCGGCTCTGCCAGAGCCATCAATGATTGCAATAAATGCGCCACCGGCGTCGTCGCCATACTTCGAGCCGTCATCCCCATCTTGAGGATCCAAAGCGTGCTATCTTGGAGTGAAAGTAAAATCGATCGTCGAGGCAAGCGATAAAGTAACCGTTTTTAGTCAACTGCGGGCTCTTTAGGATTCACCAGAAGCGAGCGTATTATGGACAACCTGTCGAGATAGGGGTTATGCGTTATTTCGACACTGATTTGTCGATGTCAAGCTCGTTTATCGCTTTGGACAATGGTTGTCGTAATTAAGTTGTCCATATTTACACACAGTAAGTTGTAGCGTACTATCGCCAACGTTGTCGAAAGAATGGGTATACTCGACAACGCTTAAGTGTCTAAGTTACGACAGTTTGTCGAGGTTATCGAAAACGGACGCTCCGTCTAAAAGGTCTATGTCCTAGGCCTAGGATACCCACTTAGCCATGAGGTTTTAGTGTATACCCTTAAGCAAGTCTTTTAAGGTCTCTATGTTATAGCAGGCCCCATATGTCCGGCGGGCGGTCGGGTCTTACTCCTGATTATTATTATCATGATAGTAGTTGTTATTGTTAGTAGTACTATGGGAGGAGACGGTGGATCATTACCAGCAAGAAGTGTTATGGTTAAGACTAAAGGGTATGGTCTATCTCGTAATGATAGTATAGGTGGTATGGGATATGGTGCTAATCATATGGGTAGACAAGAAGAGGAAACTATTGATAATAAAAGGATAAAACAAATGAGAATGCAATATTGTACATTATCACATGTCTTATTATACAAGAAACCTGTAATATCACTATATATATGATAATAACTGACTACTGATATTGTAGGTAGTAGTGTGTCGAAAGGGTTATATGTATTCTAAAGAAGCATTATATACAGCATTACTGGATAAGGGTGGTTCCAATAAGAAAAAGAAAAAAAATAATGAAAGTGATATACTACCTAAACATATCAAGAAGATTAAAGATGTGATATTACCTACTGCTACTTGTACTATTATTATTTATTGATTATTGTTGTTGCTATTGATAGGTACGTACTGCTAATATTGAATGGATTGATGATGAAGATATGTCCAAAGATAGGCATTGTACTTTCCGTTGTCCTGTTACTCGTAAGGATCTTGATGATGGTTCAACATCGGTAATCATGTTATGGCCATGTGGATGTGTTATGGATAAACAATGTATTATACATCAACAACACCAACAACAACAAGCTACTGCTACTACTACTATCGACAAGAATAAATATACTTGCATGAATTGTGGTAATAGTATTATTAGAAGATAGTATTGGTTATTGTGGGCTATTGTTGTTGTCGTTGTAATGTAGGTGCTCCATATGATCCATCTAAAGGGTGATGTTATCACTCTAGCTCCTGCTACTACAGTAATGGGAATATAATATATTAACAAGTGGTACACCGTATTGTTATTATTATTATTCAGTGATGATCTCTAATGATAAGGATCATATGCATCATCATCACATAAGGGATGTTGTTATGATGTACATAGTAAGAAGAGGAGAAAGATGA